TTACAAATGGCTCCTTTGTACTCCTTCATAGAGCAAAGAGGAGTTTATTTAACCACATCTCTGTTGATGGACACATGGACATCCCAGTTGTTTGCCACCATTATAAACACCACTGTAGCAAACATCCCTGTACATATATCTTTGTGCACACATCCCAGCATTTGTGTCATCAGGGATCCAGGTGATTCCTTGAAGTGGAATTGCTGGATCAAAGGTTACGTGCATTGAACGTATCAAGAGTACTGCCAGTTTCCCTCCAGAACGTATCCATTTATACGCATTGAACGTATCAAGAGTACTGCCAGTTTCCCTCCAGAATGTATCCATTTATACAACCACCCATAGTGTATACAAATAGTATATAAAAGCACCCATTTCTCAGAATCCTCATCAACACCAGATATTGTCAACCCTTAAAATTTTTGCTCATGGAATTTATTGCCTTCAGTTTGTATTCTTCTGATTACTAGTGAGACTGAGCATCTTTTTATATTTTTAAAAATTTGTCATGAACTGTTTATTCTTTTTATTCATTTTTTTTCTGAGTGTTTTTTTCTTCTTGATTTATATCCCCCCCACCCCATTTTCTCCACCAGACATTCAAGTCTGGGTGGAGAAATTCCCACCACACATTCAAGACTTAGGCCAGGGACGACCTCTTTCAAAAGGTCTTCCCTAGTTCTCTGGCCTCTCTTTGCCCCCGTCCCCAAGTTAAGCCCGAAATTCTGCACTCTGTACACACTAACATTGCTGTGTGTTTATCTTCTCCACAAGATCATGAGCATCTGGCTCGGTTCCCTCTACTACCCCAGCTCCTATCAGTGGGCCCTGCATAGCGTAGGTTCATAATAAGAGAATGAGCAAATAATCAGCAAGTAGGACTACTTTTAGGCTTATTTCCTTTTTCCTATTCTTTGAGAAAACAGTACAGAAGAGAATAGCCTGTTTTGTTCTGTTTCACATACACAGCTTCTGCTCTTTGCCTTCATTGTTTACATTTTTCTCTGGCTTCATTTGAACATTAAACTCCCTCGGGTCATAGGATCCCAGTCTCAAGACCTGAAGCTGTTCTTCCTCGCAGTCCCTGAGACACACTCTCATTTCCTCTACCTCACACCTCTGCCTCCTTACCACCCAAGGTACCTGTGCTCTTGGCATACTTCAGGCCAGACATCCAGGAAAGGCCAGAAATGAAGATGCATCCAAAATAATATCTTATTCAACCTGGAATGTCCAATAAAGGCTAAGGATATTTAACAAACTTGTTAGTTGACAAATGCTACATTTATTATCAGATGCAGACCAAAGCCTCAGACAAAGGACAGCCCCATCCCACCATATTATCATAACCTGGATCGGAGAACACGGAGCCAAGCAAATTAAGCTCAACGCTCACTAATCAAGCCCTGGGTCAACCTTGAGATCCTAGTCTGAAATCTATGAGAAGGACCATGAACCTGGACTTTCTGCTTAACTTCAATAGAAGTCAGATCTGAAACCCTGAATTTGTAGGATCATCACAAAGTAATTAGGTTTAGGTTTTCCAAATTGATTTAAAGCAACTGCTCATTTTGTTCTTACCCTGAATAAGATCTTTCATCCGTAGCAGCAGCCAAGCTATACTTCAGTTCCGATTGTATCTAGTGATAATAACAGCGGCTAATATTTGTTGAGTGCTGACTATGAGTCAGGCACTGGGCTAAGTGCTCATGCATCATCTCTTTTAACCCAGATAGACAGGTCAGTTCTCAGCAGAAATGGGAAGCACAGCCTGCTAATAACTGGGAGGATTTATGTTCAGCTCTGCTAATGCCCACAAGCATCCCAGTTTCCAACCCATTTCTACAGACCAGGAAGAGCCTCCAGCTTGTCAGAGATGGCTTCTCAGAGAAAACTTACACTGCAGCTTCTCCAGCTCAGATCAGTTCACACGTTCTAACCTGTTTGCCTATAAACTAAGATTTGAAAGAAGTTTTCCCACTTCCGGGAGACTAGAAGTAGGAGTGAGGCACTGTTAGTAAGTAAGTAATCAAGAAAAGGCTGAAATTAAACTCTCGCGTTTCACCACTGCTTACAGCTTATTGTTTTAAAGGAGGCGTTCCAGACACAAGGAGGGGAGGCCCAGCAAGTTTACTCTCATCTCTGAAGCCTTCCCCTTCACCTGGGCAGACTCGGAGGGAGGCCTGGCAAAGCCTCTCAAGACATGAAGCCCTAAGGAGCGGTCCTGTCGGGGAAGTGGAGCCGCGAGGCTAACCAAGTTTGTTAACCTCAGACTTCAAAGGGAGCAGTCAGACCCTCCCTGAAAAGGCCGGGCTGCCCATCCTCCTGGAGGACCCTCGAGATCTTCCGAAGGCCCTGCAGGAGCTGGAGGAAGCCGGCAGGGAGGCCCGGTGGGGTCAGGGGAGGGAAACTGAGCCGAGGCCCAGGAGTGGGGCGGGCGTGGGGCAAAGCAGAGCCTTCTAAAGAAGCCCAGAAGATTCCTGGCGGCCGGGGCTGGAAAGCGGCCGAGTTCTCTTTTAAAAAGAGAGAGAAAAGAAAACAAAAAAACCTCGTCTGAGCATGACTCTTGGCGACGGTGCTTCCACCAGCGCCTCCGCAGCGGCTCCCAGAGAAAGCTCGCCAGACAGGGACAGACCCACAGCCCAGTGGAGCGGAAGGGAGGCCAGAAGCCGGCCCACGTCGGAGCGGGGGCTTGGAATGTTGGATGGGGGGGATGGGGAGGAGGGACTACCGACTCTGCAATAATCGGTTCAGAGACAATTGGCCATCCATATGGAAAAGATAAAGTAGATCCCTATCTTACAGCAGGCCTCCAAATAAGTTCCAGATGCACTAAAGACCTACAAGGAACAAGCAAGACTACTATGGCGCGTTTTGGGAAGGAAACATAGAAGGGCAGCTTTGTAATACTGGGAGAAGGGACAGGTTCTGTAATAAGGTATAAAAACGTGCAAAACGAACGTAAAGGAAAACATTGATAACTGTTTACATTAAAATGAAAATCATCTCGGGGGAGGGTATAGTTCAGTGGTATGCTTAGGGTGCATGAGGTCATGGGTTCAATCCCCAGTACCTCCATTTAAAAAAAAAAAGATAATAAACCTAATTACCTTCTCTCTAAAAAAAAAACAAAGAAAATCATCTCTAAGGCAAAAGACATTGTATGCAAAGTGTAAAGACAAGCCATAGACCCATAATATTTGCAACCCATAAGACCAGAAAAATCTAGTAGAATATTTGAAAACATCTAAGAGAAACAGCCCAATAGAAGGGGGAAAAATGGGCAAAGGAGATGAACAGGCAACTTCAGAAGGTCAGTAACAAAAGAAAATCGAATCCACTTTACTTGTAACTATAACTGGAAATCACAACCACGAGATCCCATTGGGTGTCTGTGGGATTAACAAAAAAATAACATCTGAAGGGGGGAAGGTATAGCTCAAGTGGTAGAGTGCATGCGTAGCATACACAGGGTCCTGAGTTCAATCCCCATTATCTATTCTGAAAATAAATGAATAAACCTAATTACCTCCCCCCAAAAAATTGAAAAGAAAAATAAATATAATTAAATTTTAAAAAATAAAATAACATCTGATAACCCAAGTGTGGAACTGAGTGCAGGAAAATGAGAAATCTATTGCTGGCAAAAGTGTAAGTTGGTACAACCATCTAAGAAAATTAGGTCAAACCCTATAAAGTTGAAGCTGCACAGGCTCTTGGTAGAGGTGTTTTCCTTCATGTTCACAAGTGGACAAATCCTGTACTTGTCTGATGTGTTTGGGAGTAAGTGGAAACAATCTAATCATCACTGTATGGAAAAAGAATAAACTGGTTTTACTCATCCAATGAAATACCATAAAGCAGTTAAAAGGAATGAAATAAATCTACATGTATCAACATGGCTAAATCACAAAATCTAATTTAGGGTGAAAAAAAGTTACAAACACATATTACACACTGATACCATTTATATAAAATTTCAAAACAAAAACTATATAGAAAGAATACAAAATCATGATTGTATGTTTAAAATTTTTTGTAATTTAAAATAAAGTAGAAACCACAATGACATACCATTTCATATTCATTAAGATGGCTATTATTTAAAAAAAAACAGTAACAAGTGTTGGCAAGGATATGGAAAAATTGGAACTCTTGCACATTGCTGATGGGAATATAAAATGGTACAGCCACTGTGGAAAATGGTATGGCAATTTCTCAAAAAAGTAAAACCGTATGATCCAGCAATTCTGGTTCTGGGCATATACCCCAGAAGACTTGAAAGCAGGAACTCTAACAGGTATTTGTACACGCATGTTCATAGCAGCATTATTCACAATAGCCAATAGGTAGAAGCAACCCCAGAGTCCATTGACAGATGAATGGATAAACATAAAATGTGATATATGCATACAACGGAATATTATATAGACTTAATGAGGAGTAAAATTCCGATATATGCTACAACATGCAGTAACCTTGAGGACATTATCCTGAGTGAAATAAGCCAGACACAAAAGGACAAATACCGTGTGATTCCACTTACATGAGGTAGAGTAGTCCAATTCATAGAGACAGAAAATAGAATGGTGATGGGGGTGGCGTTACTGTTTAATGAGTACAGCTTCAGTTTGGGAAGATGATAAAGTTCTGGAGATGACTGGTGGTGACAATTGCAAAACAATGTGTATACACTTAATCCCATAGAATTGTACACTTAAAATGGTTTAAAATGGTACATTTTATGTTAGGTATATTTAAATTAAAAATAGAAATATTAAAAGAAGAAAATTGGCTTGAATCCAGCCTCTCTACCTAGCAGAGCCGGCAGAGCGGCTCACCTGCCTACATAGCCAGGCTGACTCCAGACACCAGGGCCTCCCCTCTCCTCTTTCCCTCCCCTCCCCCACAACCGGTCGCTACCCTGCGGCCCAGCAAGTCTCACCGCGCAGACGCAGAGCTGGGGTGGGTTGGTAGGCGGGGGCGTGGCCTCACTCTGCGCCTGTGCCGATTCCAGCTGCGACTGCTGTGGGGGGAAAATGACGCCCAGGTTGGGCTCCTGGGTTGCCGGCCGAGGGGAGGCCTGCACTGCACACGCGCAGACTGAGTATCCGCGTCTAAGGCCGAAGGGAGCGCGCGCTCCCCACATCCTGCGCGCCTGGCTGCCAGGCATTCGTCTCTGCCGCGACTCCCGCCGGGCCCGGCAGCGCTGGCGCGCCCACATCTGAAGAGCGATGCCCCGGGAGATCATCACCCTGCAGCTGGGCCAGTGCGGCAACCAGAGTGAGCGAACGAGCGCCGGGCACCGCCAGTCTCCGGTTCTGCCCCTTGGGCCCCACCCAAGTGCTTAGCATCCTCCAGCCTCCCCCCCTTTCCCTTCCATGAACCCCCTGCCCTACTGCGCATGACGAACCGAGTCCCAGACCCCCAGAACGAGAGCCATACCTCCAACCCTGGGTTGTCACGGCTCCCAGCCCAGACGTCTTGGGTTTATCCTCTGAATGTGACAGCCTCTGAGCCTCACCCTGGGCTTCTGAGGCCTTACGGCTCTAGCAGACCCAGGCGTCTCTCCCCATCCCCTAGTTGGGTTCGAGTTCTGGAAACAGCTGTGCGCCGAGCATGGTATCAGCCCCGAGGGCATCGTGGAGGAGTTCGCCACCGAGGGCACTGACCGCAAGGACGTCTTTTTCTATCAGGTGCCCCCAGCGACTTGACCAGGGCTGGCAGCGGCCCAGGGGGCCCGAAGGGAAGGGCAGCGGCTTGGTACTGGGAGACCAACTGGGCAGAGGAGCCAGGGCGCTGGCTTGAAGAGGGAGGGCAGGCAGGAGCCAGAGTTGGGAGGACTGGGAGGGCCCTAGCTGATTGGGCTCCCTCCTGGACTTGCCTTGACAGGCAGACGATGAGCACTACATCCCTAGGGCTGTGCTGCTGGACCTGGAGCCCCGGGTGATTCACTCCATCCTCAATTCCCCCTATGCCAAGCTCTACAACCCAGAGAACATCTACCTGTCAGAGCATGGAGGAGGAGCTGGCAACAACTGGGCCAGTGGATTCTCCCAGGTATCCAGGTGGCCATCCCAGGGATCCTTGATGTTCCCTTCCTGGGGCAGGGCAGGCACAAGCAGCCTGAGGATTTGACCAGATTGACAATAAATATGAGACAGTTACCCTGATAAGAGAGACAGCCAGGGAGAGGTTTATGCAAATTTTGTGCAAATGATTTGCAAAAAAGTATTTCTGGGGCAGGTGGGGGTGGTATAGCTCAGTGGTAGAGTGCTTGTCTAGCAAGCACAAGTTCCTAGGTTCAATCCCCAGTATCTCCATTGAAAATAAATAAATAAAACGTAATTACGCACCCCCCCTAAATAAGCATTTCTGGGGTGAGGACCATGCTGAGGCTCTGCTTGAGGTGGCAGCAGTGTCTGAGGAGGGTAGAGTTATTGGTGCTGAAAGGAGATGCTCTCTGGAAACTTCATCCTGACCTTCCCTCCCCATGTGTCTGTACAGGGTGAGAAAATCCATGAAGACATCTTTGACATCATAGATCGAGAAGCAGATGGAAGTGACAGCTTAGAGGTGAGGCTCTGCCCCACTGAAGGGGGTAAATAATGTTGAAAAGTGCTGGGTTGGGGGGGAGACGGTAGCTCAGTGGTAGCATGCAGGAGGTCCCGTGTTCAATCCCCAGTACCTCCATTAAAAAAAAGAAAAAGAAAAGGAAAGTGCTGAGGAGAGGTCAGGAGGTACCCTGAACAATGTGTGTTGGGGGCAATCCAATTCAAAACTCTTTTATTGAATATCAGATGTGAGATAAATAAGGTACAGCCTGAGCCCTCAAGGAGATCCTAATCTGGATGGCTTCAGTTCCTTAGCCACGAGTCTTCCTTCTCAAGGAGCCTCATCCTGGATAGACACAGAGGAAGCCTTGAGACATGAGTGTGTTGGGAGTAGGGAATGAGACAAGCCTGAAGCCTCTCCCCCAGATCCCTGGAGATTGCCTCTCTACCCCTCCCTATGCAGGGCTTCGTGCTGTGTCATTCCATTGCTGGGGGGACCGGTTCTGGCCTGGGCTCCTACCTCCTGGAGCGACTGAATGACAGGTGAGCCTGTGTTTGGGGAGAAGGCATTAGCCCTGGTTCCCTGAATAATGTCTTTCCTTTTTGTCACTTTTTCCTTTTTGACTGGAAGGCCTGCCACCACCCCCTTTGAATCATAGGCAGGAACAGGACCTGGCCACCCAGGGAACATCCTGGAAGCAATAACTCCCTGCAGAAGTCTTGCCTAGGGAGAGGAGGGGATATACAAAGTTTGATGCTTTAGGCTTATCTTTTTGGCTCCTGGGCTCCGAAGCTCAGTTCTACCCTCACTGGGCAAGACTTTTTGTAATAGACCTTGGTGGCACTGGGAAAGGAATGGTTCCTGTTATCCCTAGAGAAGACAGAGATGGGCAGTGATGTGAGTCCTTACAGCTCACTGTGCCACCTTCCCTTTCCCTCTTCCTTACCCCCAGGTACCCCAAGAAGCTGGTGCAGACTTACTCAGTGTTTCCCAACCAGGACGAGATGAGCGATGTGGTGGTCCAGCCCTACAACTCACTGCTCACACTCAAGAGGCTGACCCAGAACGCAGACTGTGTGGTAAGCACGGAAGGAGGGAGGGGAGACTTTTTTCCTATCTTCCCCAAACCAATGAGACACCTGCATCCTGCGCTCCCCAAGCCCCTACCCAGAGAATAAGGGAACCAAGAAAGCCATACTTGGTGGCCCAAGTTATGAAATAAAGACCTGATCCCAACTTTCTTATAGTCCCTTTAGGCAGCAAGATTCACAAAAAAAGTGAATATCTCCAGCCACTTAGCCTATTTAATGCCCACTCATGCTTGCATTCTCAGCCCAAGGGTCACTTTCTCAGCAAAACCTACTCTGACCACCCAGTCAAGGTCAAATTCCTTTGTGCATATTTCAGGCTGAACTATACTTCTCTGTTGTTTTATATTTGATGTCAGTCTCCCACCTCTAGATTGTAGACCTGGTGAGGGGGAAGACCATGCCTGTTTTACTCTCCATGGTTTCTCCAGAGCCAGGCACAATGCCTGGCACATCTTGGACAATCAAATATTTGTTTGAAGTGCTGTATGGTAGAAAAGTGTCTCCTGATGTACCAGAGACTGTACTTGCCTTTTAAATTAACACACCTACATCCTAGTTTTGGAGTTTAGAGGGGAGCTAAGCTAATAACTTATTTCTCTACCCCCTTTCTCCTCAAAAAGGTGCCGTGACCCTCTTCTGTCCCCCCAGGTGGTGCTGGACAACACAGCCCTGAACCGGATCGCTACAGACCGCCTGCACATCCAGAACCCATCCTTCTCCCAGATCAACCAACTGGTGAGCCCCCACTCCTGGACTCATTTGGACTGGAACCCCTCCTTGCCA